CATAGTATGCAATACTTAAACTTTCTACACGTAGCAGAGTTTACACATTACCCATAGACTTGTGAAATGGCCTGTTGATTTCCCCAGAACAAAAGTTTAAGACTGCAATCTTGGATTTATCCTTAATCCCCTTTGTACTGCCGAAGTAAGTTTTGAGAGGGAGTGGTTTTTAAAGACAAACCTGAAATGGCAGCACTTGAAAATCCGATCCAATCCCAAGAGCAAATAATGGACAGAAGAGGTTCTAACTTTTATAATAGGGATTTGGAAGGGGGAGAAGATAGATCTGACTATCTTGGAGTATATGAATGTGGCTAAGTAACAAAAATTACAGTAAGACTACTATTAACGATGAGTTGAGGAGGCAAGCAAAAACTGTTGGGAAATAGGTCAAGACTTAGGCGCGAGTGTCCACATATGGATTTTTTTTCTCCAGAAATCAGACTGTGTTTTTTAGAATTAAGAGGGGTGTGATTCCAGTTAGAGCCATGGTGAAATTGAAGGTGGAGATCTAATTCTTTATCCACACATCAATCACATCACTTTCACTGTTTAAAATTAACTCCAGAAGAAAAATATTTCCTGAAGTGGTACAAAATATCTAGGTTTCCAAATAAAATAAATGGTTGAAATGTGTTTGAGTATTAGTAGTTCAGGTTAGAAGTTAGGCTGTTGGTTTGAGCTCCGAGCTTGGCAATTGGGTTGCAAACATTTTGTCACCATTCAAGGAGACATCGTCAGTGTGTTTTGAGTATAAATGGTTTGTTCTGTAAAGTAAAGAGTAGGCTTCAGGTTTGGTCAACTGTATTAATATGTGTAGTTCTGTCAAACTTTACAAAATCCTGGAAAGAATTTGGAAGAGAATCAACTCGGACATCTTCATAAACTTTATTGGGGTCAAAGAAGAGGATGACCTGACTTACACATTATAGAAAATACTGGCCCCAACAATGACCCTTTGTTGCTCATTGTTCTGAATGACAAGCTTCATTATGCTTCTACAGCAGCATCTTTGTTCTCCAGTGGTTAATACTACTGGGAAAGGGCATTTGTGTAATTTCTCTACAGTGTGAGTAGCCATCTTTGGAACAAAGCAAATTCTACATGGGGGAGGAAAGAATGGAAATATCTTAATTTTCCTAGAATTAATTTGCATCTCTAAGTTAATCTTAATAAATAAAATTCTGTATGACTAACTGATAATGTTTGAATTACTGATATAGTCAGGCTAAAAAGAAAGGATGCTAAAATGAAGGGTCCTTCTAAAGTTTTGAGGTAGATTCATGTGGTACACATGAGGTAGATTTAGCACAGAATAATATATCTTAGATGGGCTGTGAAAAGAATCCAGATTAGCCAGCAATGGTCCATACTTGCTTGGAGGTTTTAGTTCCACATCTGAAAAGCAATAGGTTGGGAATATTGCTTTATCCACACGTGTCCAGCCACATTAAGATTCATATTCTGCATTTTGGTTTTAGATCTTAGAGACATTGTTGAATGTCCTCTAATAACTCTGGTGAAGTGCAGATTGGCACACTATGGAACGTGAAATTACAATAGTGAGTCCCAGTTACCACACTGCTGGCAGTTGGATTAATAAAATTATCCCCCAGAGAGGAGTCCCTAACCTCCGATCCTCAGACCGGTACTGGTCCGCAGCCCATTGGGAACCAAGCCACACAAACGGGCAAGTGCGCAAAGCTCCATTTGTGCATGCGCAGGGATTAGGTTGTGTGCATGAAACCATCCCATCCCCCCTTCCACCGGTGATCTGTGGAACTGGGAATGTTGGGGACCGCTGCCTTAGAGAACCCATCTTAAGTTCATCTACATAGAAGGAGGCCCAGAAGAGATTTTCTTCTAGTGGACCTTCTCAAACATGGAGCCAAGATCTAGACAAACAGGTGGACCACCTGATCTCACTGAATCTATCTTTTTTAAACTACTTATTAATGTAATCAGTTTACTCATTGAGTTGTTTTGAGTATTGTGGGCTATTTCTTAAGTATGCAAGTATTTCCTAAATATTCTGGTTGAAGTCCATGAATGAAGTCAAGAACATAAGGAAACCTGCTAGGTCAAGCCAAGGTTTATCTTACTTTGTTTCTCACAGTGGCCATTATATGCTTCTGGGGTGTTCATTAGCAGATATGGTCCTCTCTTGCCACCGTTCTCCACACCTGGTATGTGCAGGTATGCTGTCCCCACTTGTTGTCAATGGCAGTTTCAGATGTGAATGTACTGTAGATTTGTGTAACCTCATTATAATGATGACATTATTTCCAGTTATTTTCGTATTTGCAAGGGACTGACCTTTTCACAGAACACTGCACACTGAGTCTACATCCTCCATCACTCAGTATGACCACGTCATCTTTTTCCTGGTAGTAACTGACCACTTAGCCCCATTGGTATATAAGTGAAGTTTGAGGGTGGTTTGTTCCAACATGCACCCCTTCACACTCAAAAAGTGAATAGTATTTGCCATTTGATCATTCCCTCAGTTTAGAGAACCACTAGGAGCCCTTCATAGTCACTTTTGAATAGTTTAGTATTACTGTGTGTTCAAGCTCAGCCAATTTACTTTCTGGCCCTAATGAAGAACCTTTACGAACAAGTTAGAAAGCTTCTTTGAGAGAATCAAAACCAATAGAAAAGAATAAATGTAGCTCAGAGTTGAACTGTGGGGAACTTTGTGCTCTCTAAATTTTCTTTTAATCTCTCTTCAGCACTGAAGGTGTTGTCTTGTCCAGTCATGAAACATCTGCAAGCAAGTAATTGCGCTCAGAGAGAGAACCAAGGAATTCACTACTTGACTTCTTCCTTCCTTCCTTCCTTCCACTGAGAAAATTTGCCATTTGTTTCTACTCTTTGCTTCTCCTTTGTGACTGGGTTAACAAGAGGACCTGGGCCTGTTTAGATGTGAAAGGTTCTTAAAGTCTTCTCCAAAATTCAGTGTCAGTAGGGAATCACCTCCTCTACATGTCTGCTGACTTTGTAAAAAAGAGGGAAAAAAAGGTGCAGAAATTTGATAAGTAAGATGGACTTTTGCAGATTTCCCACCAGCCAGCCAGCAAGGTTGGTTCCTGTATACAATGTGCTTCATTCTTTCCTCTCAGCTTTCCACTTCCACCTACTTGGTCCAATTAGTTTGAATCTCTTCTTTTGGGGCCCTCTTCAAGAATTAGTTTCATAGGCAACCGTCCAGTCCACTGGGACTGAGGCCAATTTAAGAATCTCCGTTCCATTTTCTGCTAGGATGTTAAGCAGTCATGTCTGAGCCCTTAAGAATGCTCGGGAGGGTGCCATCAGAACCAAGCGCTGTTGGGGGCATAGTGGAAAAACCCAGAAATCATTATCAATTCCAAATTAAGGTGGTAGAATAGCTTCATTTCAGTGCTTCCTTTACGAAGGTTGGAAGTCTGCATGACAAACTTCTCATGGTTGTAGGAATTCCTTCCAGGTGATGGCCCCAAGATTACAAGGCAGAAGAGCAGAAACCCCTAAGTGATTGAAGGGCAAGAACAGACCCAGGAAACCACAGGTTGGAATAACACTCAGCTCCATCCAGGTGCACCAACTCTACCCCTAATGATGGGATTACAGGGTCATAAATGGGGAGTTTAGAACTCCCCCCCCCCGTTGAATAAAATTATAGGGCATTTGATGAAAGGGCCTCCAGTTTTATTGCTGTAACATTTAGCTATGGAAAGAGATTCAGTGGTCTCTCCTAATCTTGATTTATTTTCATCTCAGGTAATGATTCATTTAAATATAAGACTGAAAACGTTATACCGATCGATGAAGGCGTGAGAAGTAACCCATAGGAACTGAACCTTCCTGTCTCACATTTTTTTAAAAAGATATTTATTACACAAAACGTTAGGGAGAGTTCTATCACGGCTTCATGACAACTGCTGCTGCTTTTTGACTGTATTTTGCTTCTGGATAAAATGGATAAAATAAGTTTCAGCTGAGGATAAGATCATATATTTTAATGTGGCTTTAGGAATGGCACACTAAATTTGGTGTGCGTAGCTTACGGCACACCTTGTTTTGTAAGTAATAAAATCAGTAAGCAAATATGAGCGCGCCCTAGAATGTCAAGTTACTAAATCATCTTCTACATCAGGGAATCTTTTTAGTTGAGACTTCTGAATTTTATGCACAACCTGTTGGGATTTTTTTAAAAAGCACATATATATTGCAATTCTTAGTTCAGTTTATTTATGCAAGTTGTAAGCCACCCAAGAGTGGCAATGAGGCTGGCTGGATTATAAAGTTAATAAATGAAAGTTATTATATACAGGGCTGTATATAAACTCTCTCTCTACTAGCATTGATTAGCAACAGGTCCACTTAGAATGCAGCATTCCCCTTTTGCCCCCAAAGAGCCGCACAACCAGATCTTCTTACCTTTTTGATCTGATCTTCTTTTAGCTTTGTGAAATAAAAGGCCACAAGGTGCACCGCGAGCATGTTTGCTAGTAGTTCGGTGTTTACAGCAAGTTCCTGAGGCCAAAGCTGGAACTGATATACTGAAGAAGCCAGCAGGATCCTACCACCCAGCCATTTCTCCGATGAGTCTCCAGAGCAGCGGAGCTGAAGTAAAGCCAATCCTTCTGCATGGTTCAATGATTAAGCTTCCAGCGCCTTTCGCTGCTCCCCTCCCACCCCTGGGTACCGTATAATGCTGAGCAGATGGCAAACTGCCAAGAGGCGAGAAGGGGAAAAAAAAAAAGGATGGTTATTTACAGGCCCAACTTGGCAATGTTTTACTTTAGAACAATCCCAGTTGCTATGAGATATCCCTCGTTTCACCCAAACCCAGCACGAATTTCCTTAGGGTGGCACACGTCCAGCTGTCGAGTTTTTCATCCAACTGCAATGAAAACAAGACACCTCAATGGGTATTATTGAATCCGAAACATTGAGAGGGGAGACAGATCTTGTGAATGTAGGACCTTCCCGTTTTTTTTCCTCTCTTCTTTTGCCTTCCCTCTAGCACTGTAAAATGGGGTAGGTTGGAGATGGTTTTGTTCCCCCCCCCCACCTCTTTGCATTGTTTTATGGTGGGTTTTTTTTTTCTGTGGTGGATCTTAATGATTAGCCACCATCTCTGCTGAGGAGGAAGATTTCCCAGGGAAGGTTGTGAAGTGAAATACCACAAAGATTAACTCTGTGAATGCTGCTTTGAGGACCTGTTGAACTTAAGGAGGCATAGAACTGGTTAAGTGTGCCTGGTCAGGTTTCCCCAAACTGATATGTTGCACTACAATATCCCTCATCCCAAGCCAGCATGGGGACCAGCACATGGCTTTTTAAGTTTGGGATTAGCTGCAAAACAAAAGCCAAAACCAAACCCACATTAGTCTTTGAAATCAGGCATGGCCGTCATCTAAGTGAGCATTATTAAAACTGTGATTGCATGTCTTTTCCAAGGGTTTGCAGAAGGGGTTGAAAAAGTCAAGATGGAAGCTGCAACTGCACCCTTGAAGCCCCCGTCCCATTTTCGTACCTGTCCCCTGGGCAGCACATGTATTAAAAGAGGCCAGGTTTTGATCACACAAACATGGCTGCCATCTTGAACCCCACTATTCAGATGTCCGTCCCTGTATGTATTCACATATGTATTGCCCCTCAAAATAACCCTTTGGATACAGACAGTTGAGGGCATAGATGTTGCTTTGCATTGCTTTAGATCGGTTTTTCAACGCTGACAACTTTTAAAGATGTGTGGACTTCAATTCCCAGAGTTCCACAGCCAACATGGGGAAGTCCAAACATCTTAAAGTTTGCTAAGGTTGAAAAACATGGTTCTAGATATTGGCAAGTCAAGGCAAACGATGCTTCCCAATTAAGCATTCCAGTGACTTAGGAGAAAGTCTTGCTCCAGAAGACTCCAGACTTCCTGTGATAGCTGGGTCCAGGTACAAAAGATGCGTAAAATAATCTCAACATTCCCTCAGAGTGACATTTGGCTCAGCAGAGACATAATTTCAGTTTGTTCTCTGCTTTCTTTCTACATGCCACACAACTGCCTGCAGACAAGAGATTCATTGTCTACCCGCGACCTCATATTCCCATCACTGGGCAACAGTAGTACATCACCATGCCAATCAAACATGCTTCTCTTTGTTCTTATGGCCTCTGGAAGAGAGCAGTAGGGTGCCCAGGTTCCTAAATATGCCATCCTTGTGGGGTGAGCTAGTTCGAGTCACAACTGGATATGTACAAGACGCAATGACAGCACTCTCTCTAAACATACTACTGTTATCAGCGTTGCAGAAATTAGCCCCAACTTTAAGACAGGTGGAGAGCAGCTATTTGCAAGCATTCCAATATTATAAATACCGTAGATTGTTTAAGCAGGGAGTTGATTTTTGTACTGTAGTAGCCTTCCCTAACAGCCCTTTTGCTAACAAAGATTAGAATAAATTGATACCCTATAAATTTCAGACAAGCTAAAAGAATGAACTCTTTGGTTGGTCTGACGAATTTTAACATTTCTCTTGGCTTGCTATACAAAAGTTCCAGTTGCATTTGCCACGTTCCACCCTCTTCCACCGAACACAAATTCAAAATCTGCCTCTGATGTGATAATCCCTCATACTACTGAATCCTAACAAACAGAAAGGAGTTTTCTGTTCTGTGCTAAGTAACTCCAGATTATTTTTTTTCCAACAAAGGATTAACACAGTAGTGCACCCAATTCATTTATGGCTCATGAAATGGGCACTCTTCCTTGAGACTAATTGCATGCACCTCATTAGAGGAGGTGACCTTCACTTAAGATTTCAGATCACCTGAACAAACTTCAAAGGGCTTATTGATGTTACTATGGAGACACTGTGGGAACCTTCCATGAACGAAATGCTAATCTCAGAAATGTGAGGGTTAGCATTTTACTTCTTAAAAAAGACTGGAATACAAAGCTTTCATTTTATATTTCCTAAACTGCACAGCCCACATGCTTTCTTGTCAGAAATCCAAAACAAACAGGTATCTTTAAAAGCTGCTTATGTCACAAAACTACCATCCTAAGATTGCTCCTGAAAGTGGAAGGCTGCCTTCACATCCTCATTTTATACGCATACGTATATAAAACAAAACGTGTGTGCCGTGTTCAAAATGTCCTATTTTTTCTGAATTTAAATGCATTCATACTAAAAACATTTGATAAAGATCATAAAAACAATTTTGTTTAAAATTTACATACAACAGATGACTCTGAAAGTGTTTTTAAAAGGCAGAGGTCTTTATTTGGTATAATTATGATTTTTTCCCTCAAAAGTATTTCCCCCACCCCCAAATATAATTGTGGAAGACTTTAAAAATGCTGATTTCTCTGCCAAAGTTCGTATCAACCAAGTGGCCAGTCTACTAATCTGATTTCTGGTCAAGTTGTATATTAGCATTTAAAATGCTTTTATCTGCTGAACTATGTACTCTGAGGAAGCAGCGGAATGGTGAGCTAAACTCCATTGTCATGGAACAAGCTCAGACATGACTCAGTGTGCTAACCAGTCAACATTTAAGCAATATTTGGGCTCTTTTGACAGAATTTCCTAGCTGGAGTCTACATTCACTGAAATGCAGTTGCTCCAGCTATTACAGGTAGTCCTCCACTTACAACAGTTCACTTAGTGAACGTTCAAAGGTACAACGGCACTGAATAAAAGTGAATTATGACATGACCGTTGCAGCATCCCCCATGGCCATGTGATTTACTCAATGTAGGACGATTGCAGTGTCCTGTGGTCATGTGATCACCTTTTGCAACCTTCCTAATAAGCAAAATCAGTGGGGGAACCAGATTCACTTCACAACGATATAACTAATTTTAACAGCAGCAAGTGATTCACTTCACAGATGTGGCAAGAAAAGCCATAGAAAGGGGCAAAACTCACTTAACAAATTCCTCGCCTTGGGCTCAACTCTGGTCGTAAGTTGAGGACTACCAGTATTAGGCCCACATTGCAATCGCTCAGTGGTTTGAGACCTAACTTCTCCCTTTATCCTTATTATAGCCGTGCTCTCGGATCTCTCATTTCAATTTAAAATGAAAATTCCTTGGCCATTTTGTTGGCTTCTGCGAAGTTGCATTTAAGAAGATGCCCACAGACTCACCGATCTCCCCCCTGCTCATAGTGGGATTTCTAAAATCTGTGTTAAGATCAAAACACAAATACTTAAGAAACGACTTTCTTTTTTATTGAAGCAGAGGCATTACTTCATTTCTTTTTTTCTTTGTGTTTGGTTGAGCTCCTGTTTTCGTTCACCTCAGGGTGAGCATCCTGTTGAGCGAGCCATTCCTTCTCCAGTTGCTTCAGCACTTCCTTGCTGAGGAGCCCCTGCTGTATTAGTCTTTCAGTCAGGGGGCCCTTCATTTGGGACAGGGGCCCCAGCTGCGCATCCGCCGACTGTAAGCTCCTGGCTTTAGGCCCTTTTGCTCTGCGGGAGCCGGGGACCATCTCTTTGTTGGTGGAAATCTCTGTCATTCCTGCCTGCGGGAGCCTCTCGTCAACGCTGAGGCTCTCCACAGGAATACCCATGGCCTCAGAAGTGACTTGGGAAGCTTGAATCAGTCTCGTAATATTCAGCACTCCAATCTGTATGATGTCATCCAGTTCCTTCTGAATCGCCCTCACGCGACCAGCATCTGGGAACATGTCCATAAACCGATAACTGTGTTGTTGTTTTTTTAAAAAAAAAGAAAAAGAAAACACAAACGTGCCATCAACTTGAGAAGAGGAATTCTTCAAAAAGCAAATCAATTCTTTATGGGTCTACAAATACTTTATTAGGGGGCCTCGCTTGACAGAATTTACAGAATTCTGTCAGAACTTATTCACCAATCTCAAAGGTTACAAAAATGTGTGACAAATCCTGGGTCCGTAGCTCATTAATACAAGCAACTGGTATTTGTCCTCTCAAAAGTCTACAACGGGGTCCCCAAACTTGGCAACTTTAAGACTTGTGGACTTCAACTCCCAGAATTCTCCAGCCAGCTATGCTGGCTGGAGAATTCTGGGAGCTGAAGTCCAGTTTGGAGACCTCTGTTATAAAGCAATCCAGTTACCTGAGGGATTTTAGAAGGAAATAGTGGGAAGACGGGCTGTTTTTATTTTAAAATAATCAGTTCTGGGAGTTGATGTCCACAAGTCTTAGAGCTGCCAAGTTTGGAGACCTCTGGTCTACAACAATAGGGTTGTGACGTGCAATATTTTGTTTGACAATTAATTTTTTTTAAAAAAAGCTTGATGATTTAAATATTGTACAGGTATCATTTAGTGACTGACTCATCCAGCGACCCTTTGCAATTACAACGATGAAAGAAAAAGTCATTTGATGACCAGTCCTTGCATTTGCAAACTTCACAAGTCCGTAAAGCAAAGGAAAGCTGAAGGAAGACCACAATTAGTCACAGTTTCGCTTATGGACTGTTTTACTTAATGACCAAGTTGCCAGTTCCAGTC